AGCCTCAGCAACTTAGTGACAATCCCCAGTACCGAAACTAAATCAAATAAAAAGGACAATGAATCCCTGGCATTATGTATAATTATAATGCACCAAAAACAAACCCAGGAAAAAACTGAAAACCAATAAAATAAATAAAAGGGGCTGTGGATGTAGCTCAGAGGTAGAGAGCCCATTTTGTCCAACTCTAAATTATGGGGAGGAATTAGGCACATGAAAAGGAGAGGCTGCTGTGCAGAGAACAGCGAAAGTGTCATAACCCTGACACCTTCAGATTACCCCTTCAGGGGCTGAAACCCCATTTTCTCATAGTAAATGATGCTTCATAAGATAAGTCATGAGTTTTTTTGAGGGAGGGGGGTGCTGAATTAGGGAATGGAACCCAGCACCTAGCACAAGCTGGGCAAGCAGTATGCCACTGAGCTATGGCAAATATTAAGGTTCTTCTAAAAGCAGAGCGTAGTGCTAGGCCCTGGGAAATACAAATCATAGTACTAGTACTCACAAGGAATGTTCTGGAACCCTCAAGTTCTTTCTAATATACAGCATTAGCAGGAATTACCAATGCCTGATGTTATAGGGGGAATGGGAGGTGTGATTACAACCTGCCCTGGCTGGTGGACAACAGTAGCACAGAGGAGGCCCAAGAATCTTCCCTGGGCAGAGATGGTAGGGGGGACCATACTTAGTCCTGTGACAGTAGGAAGCCAGTGGGTGGTTTTAAGCAGGTAAGTTTTAAGTATTTTTCTATAATCAAAATAAAGTTTTTATTTAATGACATATCATGAATTTGTTCATTGTTTTGATATGAAATGTTTGTATTTTTATTTTACAAGCATTCTGTAGTTACAAACTTGATTTCTCATTGATTCATGGTTTAGGAGAGAAAAGTTTAATTTCTAAGAGCCTGAGTTTTTAAAATTGTTTTGTTACTGTCTTTCATACTGTTGCTATTAATTATTGATTTTCTGTAATATTTGCACTGGGATCAATCAATATTACCTATAGTTTGTGATTTTTTTCAAAACTTGAGGCTTCTTCATCTCATATTATCAATTCCCATAGTTGTCCTGTTTGAATGATATAAAGTCTAGTAAATGAGCTGTTTCTAGTAAATGAGCTGATTCTCCCTTTTATAACAGTCTGCTATAATCTCGTTTGTTTTGCAAATATGTCATGCTAAAATCATTACAGCAGATGCTTCAGCAATTTCTTTTTAACTCTTTTCAGCTTTATATATATGTAATGCTATTTTTTCACTACTTAAAAGTTTCTAACAGTTTCTTTCAGTAAATGCCTGCCTTTATTATTGAATACTATTTGAAAAATTAAATTTGCTTTCCAGTTCTGGGGCTTTCCAGTTTCTGAACCCAGGAGTGCTCTACCAGCATACATACTATATCCTCATCCCTTTTATTATTATTATTATTATTATTTTGAGAAAGGGTCTCACGTTTTTGTCTTGAATTCAACTTTGCTAGATAGTGATGACTCCACATTTTTGTCCCTCCTTTACAAACTGCTTATTGTAAAAGTATTCAGATATACACAAAAGTAGAACAGTAAATGAATCTTCCCATCCCTATCACCCAGACTCATCCGTTATCAAGATTATCTTGCACTTGTTCCCTTTTCTCTCTTTTCTGTTCTTTTTCTAGAGTATTTTAAAGCAAACTCCAGACATCATTTCAGTTCATCCCCACATATGCAAACATGGGTGTTCCCTTGGAAAACCACAGTGTGAGCATGTGTTTATTTTTGCAGTGCTGGAGATGGAACCCAGGGCCTTTTGTGTGCCTGGCAAACATTCTACTCCTCTACACCACAATGCCGTTATTGTACTCACAAAAATAATTGTGATTCCTTGGTATGCTTTAATACCCAGGCCGTATTCAAATGGCTCCCATTGTCTCAAAGATACCTTCTCACAGTTAATTGGTACAAATGAGGGTTCAAGTGAGGCTGACAGCATTTTGACATTAGTCTTCTCAATTCTTTTAACTTAATGCTGCCTTCCCTTCCAGACACCACCGACTTATGGAAAACAAAAGGGTTCCTACAGAATGCCTCCCATTTTAAATTTACTTTAAAAAAAGTAAAGTTGTTGTTCCAGGGGTGCTTAACCACTGAGCCAAATCCCCAGCCCCCCCTTTTTTTTCTGTGTTTTATTGAGAGACAGGGTTTCACTGAGTTGCTTAGGGCCTCGATAAGTTGTTGAGGCTGACTTTGAACTCACCATCCTCCTGCCTCAGCCTCCTGACCCACTGGGATTGCAGGCATGCACCACTATGCCCAGCTCTCTTCATATCTCCATGGTGTTACTTATCTGTTTCACTCTCAGCTATTTCTAAACTGGAAGTTAGTTTTAAAGACTTCAATAAATTCAAATGCAATTTTTGGCAAAATTTTTTTCAAAGGATGCTGTGTACTTAACAGCTTGTGGGAAAGACACACAATGCCTGTTCATCTTTTTGGTCTTAGGAGTTGACAACCTGATCTGTCATTGCCAAGTTACCAATCAACTTTTCACATAGTGGTTTCATCCACTGATAGAATCTGCCTGAATAACCTATTACATTAGTGATTTCAAAATAATCTTTTTCCAATATAATCTTTTTCCACATTTATTGGCTAGAATACTTTGTAAAGAGCTTTTCATCACTTTGAGCTACTTGTATACCCTGAAATACAGTTGCTTGAAGAAGGATAAAGGCTTAATTTTTTTTTTCCCTTCAATGCCAGTTTGTTTTTGGATATTGGGGATTGAACTCATGAGTACTCAACCACTGAGCCACATCCCCAGCCCTATTTTGTATTTTACTTAGAAACAGGGTCTCACTGAGTTGCTTAGGGCCTGTTAAGTTGCTGAGACTGGCTTTGAACTTTCAACTCTCCTATCTCAGCCTCCCCAATCGTTGGGATAACAGGCGTGCACCATTATGCCCAGCTTCAACGCCAGTTTTAAGAGTAGTGAATCAGTTTCCCCAATAACTACTCAACCTACCCAAAGATGGACAGTTTGTACTTGCATTTTGGGTTGCTCTAACTCAATTTTTGCTTCCCATGGGGGTGGGGGTGGGGTGTCTTTGATGACTTTTTTTAAAAAATATTTTTTAGTTGTAGATGGACACAATATCTTTGTTTTTATTTTTATGTGGTGCTGGGGATTGAACCCAGTGCCTCACACATGCTAGGCAAGTGTTCTACCACTGAGCCACAACCTCAGCCCTGTCTTTGATGATTTTTCGTTGTCATAATTATGCATTTTTAACTATATAATTTTGCTATATATATAGTATATATGTGTGTGTGTATCTGTCTTTCTATCTATATAAACTTCCTCCCCTAGTGATTTGCAAAGCAAATCCTATTCTGCTAGTGACTTATTTTTCAAATGTAAGATTAGGGGCCAGGAATATTGCTCAGTGGCAGAGCTTGAGTATAGCATATATGCGTCTTAGGTTTGATCCCCAGCAACAAAACATAAAAAATTACAGGCTCGGGATATAGTGCAGTTGGTAGAGTGAGACCGTGGATCAATCCCCAGTACCAAAAAAAAATATTAATGCTTATGCAATGCAAAACTGTCAGCCTAAGAGAAAAAATGAAAGTGACCCCTACCCACCCAGATGTCTTTGAGGGCCTGAACACTGTTGTTCACTGTTACAGGAAATCCTCCAAAGGACTCCCTCAAAGCAGCTTATCTCCCTTCATGTTACAATACTCAACAGCACTCATGTGGGTGTTTTCTCTAATTATCAAGTTTTTAACTATGCCCTAAATTTTTTCTTTCTTCAACTTCTCCATATTTTCACTTGGCTATTGTCTGAATCCCTAAATCTTCAGCTGGATGCCTGGGTGCCAGCTGAGCGATTCAAAGGCCTGGGGGCAGGGGTGCGACTATGACACAAGCAACTCTAGGTGGACTAGACCCTGCCCAAATACCCCTACAAATCAGGAGCGTGGCACCAGACTCCTCTGCTCACATACACTGGACATTAACTTCCTAAGAGCTGTCAGCTGTTGGTTCTCTTCTCTAATGAAGTCCATCTGCAGCATCTGCAAGAATGTCACAAGGTTTCTGATACGTGTATCCTACCTTTCCATATGCACACTTTTCCTACAGGATTTATTTAAACATTTCCCAGGTTCTGTCATTTAATTCTGATGTTTGTAAATAAGAAAACTAAAGTCCCAGGACAGTAAATAATAAGTCTACAATCAGCAATTAAGTGGCAGGCATAACAGGTCCTTTGACAACAAGGGCAACTCTTTCCATTACCTCATCTATTTTGCAACAGGGTCTCACCATGTTGGCTTCTACCTGTGTTCAAGAGTCCTCCTGCCTCAGCCTCATAGGATTTTTATTTATTTATTTATTTTTGCTGAGGATCTCTATCAAATTGCAAGTTAATGTTTTTTTGTTTGTTTTTCAATATTTATTTTTCATTTTTTTTTTCCAGCGGACACAACATCTTTGTTGGTATGTGGTGCTGAGGATCGAACCTGCGCCGCACACATGCCAGGCGAGCCCGCTACCGCTTGAGCCACATCCCCAGCCCCCCAAGTTAAGGTTGTAACAAAGTTTACTTTTCTACCACTTCTGTGCCTAAAAGTTGCCACAGAAGTCAGTCCCTGCAGTTACACCTGCAATTTGGACCTGCTGTTGATTTACTGAGGACAAGCCAAAGGTGGCACTTCTTGTGGTTTGAAAGCAAAGATGAAGTTCCAGAGCCTCAGTGGACAATTCCTCCCTATCATATCCCAGGGAAACACACTTTGTTAAAATTTTAGCAGCCCTAAGGCCTCAGTAATTGACTTCTACACAGTTTGAATTTAGATGACTGGCCTGACACATTTGGGCTCACCTTTCCACACCTAAGAGGGAGGTTTAAATATCTCAAACACAGAGAAGATGACACACTCGGAATTATATAATTAATATTTTTAATGTGCAGAGTTTGTAATACAAGGGCAGAGATTCCTCCTGGATTCAAGTTTTATAAATTCTCAATGGGCTGGTGAGGCCAATAGGGATACTTCTTCTTGTCTAATTTGGTTTCTGGGAAGACTTCGTTTAAGTCCTCAATGGTCATCTGATCAAATGGAATAATGTTCTTTATTTTCTCCAGCTGGAAAGAGCAGAAATGTGTTAGGGGAAATAGGGCTACAAAATGCAAAACAAGAATTTAAGAAAGATATAAAATATACCAAAGGCAAAGCCTGTGGTTCATCCTTACCTGTTTCTCATATTCTTCAATCCTGGCCTTTGAGAGAGACACAAACTCAGCACAACTTTTTACCTTTAAAAGAACCAACAGATTCTGTTGTGAAACCAGGTTGTAACCTGACCCTGAAGCTCCCAAGGTATGGGAAGTCCCCAGGCCGCTCTTGCTCTCCTGCCCTGTGGAGATATAGCTGCCTGCCTACTGAGAGCTAAACCACAGCTTTTGCTAACACCCACAAAGCAGCCCAGGTACAAAAACAGGTTAGTATGGCCTGTTTCATAAGGGCTGGGCACTGAACAGCCAGGGCAAGACACCTGACCACCAAGCCAGACTTCTCTTTGGGGGAGCCATCAGGTCCAATGTTTCAGTTATGTATCTGAACACCTGTATAATTTTTCTACCTAATTTCAATACCTTGCCTTTGACAGCTCTGTTGAGGTATAAATGACATATAATAAGGTGCACATATTTAAAGAGCACCATTTGATGTAGGTATCTACCTGTGAAATCATCACCATGCTCGAAACAGTGAGCATATGTATTACCCTTCTCCCTCCCATCCCTAGGCAATCATTGATGTACCTTCTGTCACTATAGATTAGTAGAGATTTACACAAATAGAATCATATGGTATTTGCATTTTTTTCTTGCTGCTTTTTTAACTGAGCATAGTAATTATTATTATTTGACATTACGAACTGAACTTAGGGGCACTCTACCACTACGCTTCATTGCCAGTCCTTTTTGTATTTTGAGACAGGGCCTCAGTAAGTTGCTGAGGCTGCCCTTGAACTTGTAGCCCTCCTGTCCTAGCCTCCCGAGTCACTGGGATTACAGGCACATGCCACCACCCTTGCCTTTCGGCATAATTATTTTGATATTAATCCATGTTGTAGTATTTATTAACAGTTCATTCCTTTTTATTACTGCTAACACTTTCTTTTTTTTTTTTTTTGGTATCAAAGATTGAACTCAGGGGCACTCGACCACTGAGCCACATCCCCAGACCTATTTTCTGTATTTTATTTAGAGACAGGGTCTCACTGAGTTGTTTAGTGCCTTGCTTTTGGTGAGGCTGGCTTTGAACTCATGATCCTCCTGTCTCAGCCTCCAGAGCCACTGGGATTACAGGTGTGCACCACCATGCCCAGCAACACCTTAATTTTCAATTTAATTTGTTCTACCTTTTACTAGCTGCTAAGTAATATATAGCTGTGCTAGTAATCCAGCTCAAAATTTTTACATGTGTCCTATACAGGAGATGCTGGGGCACAATGGGTTAAGAAACTTAGAATAGGGCTGGGGTTGTGACTCAGTGGTAAAGCACTTGCCTAGCATGTGTGAGGCCCTGGGTTTGATCCTCAGCACTACATAAAAATAAATAAATAAAGATATTGTGTCCAACTACTATATATATATATATAAATATATATATGAAAAAAAAAAAAAGAAACTTAAGAACATCGATTACTCACATCTTCCTTTTCTTCAGCATCCACCTGTGCAGTATATTTATCCTCTGGCAAAGGAACCTTCAGGGCATTAAACTATAAACAGGGACAGTGAGTTGGCAGCAATATACCCAGAAGCCCAAAGAAAGGGCTCAAAGTTATTCCTTAAAGATCATATTAAAGCATATTCTCCACCCCAAGAAGAAACCAATATGCATTTCAGATGTTGTAGTAGAGAGAATATTTTACTGGGAAGAAGAGCTCAAGGATCTTCTCAGCTCCATCACTAACTGACTGAAGACCTTGGATATTTCTTTATAACAATGAACTTCAGTTTCCTCATCTGGAAAGGATAGCTGTACTTAACAAGAAAAATAACCTCACATTCTGAAGAAGTCCTGAATTGTCTTTGACACGAAACCCCAGAGATCTTATCAGCAGAAGTAATGGTATATGATGGAGATAAAAATGGTCTTTAGAAGATTGCTTGATGTTATAGCCTAGCACTTAACACTACCCTCAAGTGGAGAAGCAAATGAACTTTGGATATTGAGACTTAATGTGAAAATATTATGAGAGGACAGATGAATAAGAAATTACAGCTCTAAGGGATAACAAAAAAGAGCAGAGAAAAAGGAGGGAAACAGTAAAAGGGCAGAAAAGATGTTGGTCTGTATCAAAAGGAGACAGCGGGAAGCTAAAATGGAACTTAGGCAGAGTTAGAAAGAAACTCTAACAGTTGTCTGGCTCCAGGCAGCAAGGCCATAGTATTCCTTTGACTGAACAGACCCTGAATTCTCAAATCCTACCACTGCAAGGGCTTTGGCCACATCCATCTTTCCTAAAACTCCTTTGGGATCTGAGTGCTACCGTCATATGGAATATCTACCTTATCTACCCTGTCATCTTCCGTATGTATATGTACCTTCCTACTCCCCATTCAGAAGCCACTTAACAAGATCAGTGCTTTAGTTATCTGAAGTCTCACCTTCTTTTCAAAGTCATCCACCAAGCCCGCCTTGGCAACATTTGCCTTGTAGTAAGCCCAGTCGATAGCTGGTGGTTTCTCAGGCAGAGTAGCCAACCTGCTCACATGCAAATGCAAAAGTCAGGTTTGTTCCATGACAAACAGAATATTCACACAATAATCTCCCTATTCTTTACTCCTGTGGTATAGGGTGTCATCAACTTTTCTCTTTTGTCATCACAATGATGCCCCAAAATACTTTCATTTGGAAAATGCATGGATTTCTTTATTCTTTTGTTTGAAGAGTATCAAAAATTCATATGCAATCCCAAAACATTGTTTCTAGATTCAGTGAAAAGTAGGGGGTTCCCTCTGAGGAACATACTGACCTGGAGGAGAGGGTCTCATTCCAGGACTTCAGAGAGTTAGCAATAGCCTTCTGGTTTCGGGGAATGATCTCCCCAAAAGCTATCCAGTCAATGGTTTTTAGAGCAAGTTTGCGCCCAGCCATCTTGGGATCCTGGAAGATAGGTTAGATCAAAACAGTGATCCTGGAGTGAATCCTCTGAAGAAGGGCATTTTAGAAACAAGCAAGTTTTTAAAATAGATCAGCATCCTTTTAGTGCTTGGTGGGTTTATTTTATCAATTAGAAGAATGAGTTTTAATAAAATCAAGAAAGGGCGGTTTACTTTTTCAAATTAACCATACAACCCAGCATATAAATGTGTTCTCTTCCACTAGATTGTCCTTCTGTATTCCCCCAACTCCTATTCATCCTTAAAAGCCCAGCTCCCAGTCAGGAGTAGGGGTGCACACCTGTAATCCCAGTCACTCAGGAGGCTGAGGCAGGAGGACCACAAGTTCCAGATCAGCCTGGGCAACTTAGGAGACCCTGTCTCAGAATAAAATTAAACGCACTAAGGATGTAGCTCAGTGGTAGAACACTTACTTAGCCTGCACATAACCTGAGTTCAATCCCCACTGCCAACAAAAAAACAATCAAGATGCACATCATCTTGCAGTATGATCTTATGCCCTACCAGATTGGTCATAGACCTGCACCCTTCTGATTAATATCTAATTATCCACCACTGCACTCTTACATGCCCTGCATTTTAAGAGGCATTCCATACAGAGATGAATATGAGAGAAAATAAAAATTGGCTGCAGCTGTCTTACACCAAGGCCATACAGGAAAACTTAATTCATTTAAATTAAGATCAGGGTCAGAAATTAGAAGTGTGTAAAGTCAAAGTTCTCTACAAGCTATGGAGTGGATTCGAAAAAGGTGAAGAAAGCTTCCTCGGGATCTTAAAAGAAAGTTGTTAAAACACCTGACTCTCCAGGCATGGTGGTGCATGCCTGTATTCACATTGGCTTGGGAGGCTGAGGGAGAAGGATCAGAAGTTCACAGCCTCAGCAATTTAAGGAGGCCCTGGGCAAATCAGAGAGACCCTGTCTCAAAATATAAAAAGGGTTGGGGAGATGGCTTGTAGCTAAGTACCACCGGGTCCAATACCTGGTACCAAAACAAACAAACAAACAACACCTCTCTTCCTTCCCCTCCCGTAGACTGTTAGGAAACTAAGATGCCAGACAATCAATGTTTTTTCAGAGGTTCTTCCAAGCACCTGAAGATAGAGTTAAATGAAAAGGGCTTTTCCCCTTTCGTTTATAGCTTATTCCCCAGCGCCTAGAACAGGTCACAAGTATAGGAAGTGCTCAATGTATACTCGTTGAACGGGTGAATGAACCCTGGAGCTTAGAAGTCCTGAGCGCTGCACAAACTGGAATCCTGGAACGCTCCAGATGCAGGGGAAGGCGCAGCCCCGCAGCCTGCTAAATGTCCCTCAGCATTAACTCTGTAGAGTGTGTCCCTGCCTCACAACCACAAGACCGAGATCGCCGCGCTGGGAGCAGAAGACTGTGCCAGACAGTTTGTGGCAGCGCCTACACTAGCTAGCGGCGGCCGGGTGACAGCTAGGGCCCGCGACCTCGCGCGCGGGGTGGAGTGAAGAAGGGAATGCGGGGCAAAGCACTCTGCCAGCGGGACACCCCGAGAGCTCGGCGTCCTCGGCGGGGTGCAACAAGGAAAACGCGAGGTCGGGAAGACGCAAAGCAGAAGAACTCTGCGGGGTTCGCACTCAACGCCCCGAACCCCACTCACCTTCACCGACCCCAGGAGAGCGTAGTCCTCACCAGCAAGTAACGGAAGTGGGTCACCGGAAGACCTCCCCTCAACCAATCCCAAAGAAAAAGGGGCGGTCCTCACTTCACATGTCAGCCAATAGAGACGGAGCTGGTTTAGGAAGTCCCGCCCCCGGGGGCGGGCGCGGCGCCTGCGCCGCCAGGG